AAAGAAAGAAAGAAAGAAAGAAAGAAAGAAATGTTCTGAACAACATGAGGGTGAGTAAAAGTTTACAGAATTTTCATTTTTTGGGTGAACAGAAAAAAATAGTATCGATAAAATAGTATTTGCAAGCATATCACATTCACGTTTTAGTCTGCAGTGATTCATTTGTGAAAATATATATGTGAACATATTTAAGTGTGTATGTCAAGTCAAGCCAAGTCACCTTTATTTATATAGCGCTTTTATACAATACAGATTGTTTCAAAGCAGCTTTAGTGAACATTTGATACACTTGTTCAGCTGAAGTCAGTACCGTTGTAAAGATCATCAATTATTAGTTCATTAGTTCATTTCATCTACAAAGCAGTTCTGCCAAAAATAATGTCATCGTTCAACTCAGTTCCGTTCTCATTCAACAGTGTCAGTACATCAGAACAATAATATTGTTGAATATTAAGTGTCTCCAACTTAGCAAGCCAGAGGCGACAGTGGCAAGGAACCCAAACTGGTGTCAGAATGGAGAAAAACAACTTTGGGAGAAACCATGCTCAGTCGCTGGGCCAGTTCTCCTCTGGTGTGTGTGAATAAGAAACAGCTTTTCTTTCCCATCACTCCAGGAAGCCACATAAACAATAGCTAGGTTTGTTTAGATGAGGAGTGCACAGCTATAGGAAGGAGGTGTTAGCTCCCTATCCTTCCAACACCATCTTATTTTCCTCTCCCTCAATTTCGCACTCTCTCTTTCCCTCCAGTCCCTCTCTCCTTCTCTTAGATGTGCACAACCACACTATATTCTACAAGAAATAATTGCTTTTGTCTGAAAGGAGTACTGGAGGGAGGGGCCCGAGCGCCCCGTTACCTCAGCGCGTCAAGGGGGTATGCGAGGGACAACCGGTCACTCCGTTTCATCTGTTTCACTTGACCTGCAGATGTCATCTGTCAATAGCGAGATTCAAGGATGGACAGGGACAATGAAACACATCCTTTTATTGAACAAAATAAGGATGGAAAGCGGGATGTTGCAGACGTCAGAGACCCCCCAAAAATGAACACAACATGGTCTTCAGCAAGAGCAGTAATTGTATCACTTTTATTAGTAATGCAAAACAACACAATGTCTACGTCATTATATGTGGCAAGTAGATGCCACATCTTGGTTTACATCTCGGTCATTGCCAAGACTTCTGAGCCTGAGCTCACAGAGAGTTTTGCTGCCTAGTGGAATCGATTTGCTCCTATCGACTGGAGTGTTTAGCGAATAGATTTTTCTATTTAAAAATCTATATTGACAATAATCTTGTGTGTAAGTGCGCCGCAGCATGGTTTGTAATTGACAGGGCGTGATGAATTGGTGGTAGGAGAGAGAAGCAGCGCCGCTCGCTGATTAAGGCCCCCGGGAGGTTTGCTGGCATGTCGAGATTTCCTAGCACAGTGTTTCCCAACCCTGGTCCTTCACGGAGGCCTCCCCAACAGTACACTTTTTGGATCTCTCCCTCATCTGACGCACCTATTTCAGGACTTTCAGTATTATAATCAGTGTATTGAGAAATGTGTGCTGTTGAGGTGCGCAAGAACAGAGCTGAGAAACATTGAAAGCTGGCTCTCCTAAGATCAGCCAGTTTTGCTTCTGCTGTTGTTCTGTATCATTATTGGTAAACAATGTTTATTGATGGAAACAAATATATAACTGTCTGTGGGACTTAAGTGGAATTTAAGGGAATCTCAGGTGTGATAATCAGAATTTGGTCGATTTGTAGTTGTCAATAATAAGACAATAAGTTTAAGCGAATGCAGTTTATAGAAATATGAACACATCAGCTCACATATGGCTTTGTTAATCAGACAGTGAACACTGTTTTTATACCTTAACCTAGGCCAGCATGTTCAAACAAAGGTAATTATATAATAGGGGTTCAATCAACCTGCATTTGAAGAGTTCAGATGCAAAAGCCTCTAAATGCCATTTGAAATTTTCTTCTTGAATGATGATTTTTTATCAAACTTGTATATTTAAGTTCAGTAATTTCACTTACATAACAATTAATAGGTAATTATCATTGTCATTTAAGTGAACTTAAATATACAAGCTTGATAAAAATGATCCGTTCTAGAAGAAAATTTCAAATGGCTTTTGCATCTGAACTCTTCATTTACTTACCCTTTTAAATACATTGAAGAAACACATTTTTATTAGCAACTTTTAAAAAATAATGACCTAAATTTTGCCATTTATTATGCTCTTGTTTGAATGAATCATGAATGAAAAACACTTAATGAGTTGAAGTTAACACTTTATTTTACAGTGTCATTGTTAGTAACTGTATTAATAACTATAAATTATGCATAATTAATTACATGCAATTAATCCTCAACCAAACCCTCATCCTAAACATAAACCTATAGTAACATGTAGTTAGCCTACTCAGTACTTAAAGGGATACTTCACCTCTGGAAAGATGATTGTGTATTTAAAATGGGTCTTTTATGTAGAAGAAATGAGAAATTATTTTGAGATTAAATTAAGTTTAAGCTTTCTAGACTGAGAAAAACAAGAAAATGTAGTTTTGGCTCGTCTGGATGAAAGACAACAACTCCCAGAATGCACTTGCTTCGCTGCCCTGGGAGGCCACGCTTACTGGTAACAGAGCGCAGTAGTTAAACAGCAATAGTGAGTCTCCGTGATTAGTCTGCTCGGGATTTCGAGATCGCCCAAATTCGGGATTCCGCTTTTTGAGTTCTTCAGTCGCCATTCGTGAGCAGGACGAGTGAGGGCTGTGGGAGAACGGCGCGAGGCTGGTGGCATGATTACAGATGAACCTGTGAGACGCACCGATCTCGTATCTCTCACGGAGCGGGAATTTTCTTAGCAACGTTAAAACACACATCAACCAATCACTTGTTTAGCGTTCATGTAAACACTACATCCAGATTCACCAATCGGAATGTATTCAGTATAGATTCGAACAAAAGGTGTGCATGTAAACATGGAGACTGCAGAAAGCAAAAGCTGAATCCCGGACATCGACGGCTGGACATGTCCGGGAAAAAGAGGATGGTAACCACCCCTACCACTCAGCTTTTTCCTCAGAACAAGAGCCGGCTGGCTTATAGCTTCCAAAAAAGATGTCTATGTGTACATTCTGTGAGTGAGATCCCACCCTCTATGGGCAGGTTGAAAACATGCGGGACAGCCCCTGCTACTGATTGTAGTCTTTATCCTCTGGCCAAAAAATCCTCCGATAACCAACGCATTCTCACCCCAAGGCGTCACCTTTGACCATGCTTCAATATTTGACGTTTTAGGCGCCCTTTAGCGTCACTTACATGACGCGATCCTACGGCGTCATCTAACTGACGCTAAAGGAAAGCGTCAGTTAGAGGACGCGGTTAGGTTTAGGTATGGGGTGGGGGTAGGGTACACGCGATCCTAGGGCGTCATCTTACTGACGCTAAAGGGCGCCTAAAGCGTCAGATATTGAAGCATGTCCAAATGTCAGTTAAGTGACGCCTTGGGGGTGAGAATGGGCTGCGATAACACCAAAATGACGATTTTTGCGTCATCGGAGGATTTTTCCAGACAAAAAAATACATAAATCTCTCGTCTGCAGGGAGATAAGAGAGTGGAAAGCATGCAATTCAAAAATACTACAGGTTTACTAATACAAAGCTAATGCTAAATCCTGAAGTATCCCTTTAAAGTAGCCTATAATTACACCGTAATACTGATACCTTAAAATAAAGTGTATTGAGTTGTTTAAAAATATAGGCTAGTTCACCCAGAAACTCCACCATCATTTACTCGCTCTGATGTTGTTCCAAACCTGTATGATTTTCATATCAGCACAAAAGAAGATATGTCTTTTGTCAATAGAATGAATTTGGAACTTAATTTGAAAATGGTGTGCATGCATGCAAACGTTGTCACTGGGTTAGCTTTCTTTCTTTTTTTTCTTTTCTTTTTTTGTATGTTAAAACTGTGTTTGCTGTATTTATGAGCACCGTTGTGTGTTACTCTTAGGTGAATTAGTATTATTGGAGAGAGATGTTTGTAGCTCGTATCAGTCCATGTGTGACTTTACCTTTCAGCGAGGCAAGCGCAGGGGTACGGAACCGTGAGAGAGAGAGAGAGAGAGAGAGAGAGAGAGAGAGAGAGAGAGAGAGAGAGAGAGAGAGAGAGAGAGAGAGGAGAGAGAGAGAGAGAGAGAGGGGTGGGGTGGTGGTGATGTGAGAGTTGTAACGGCTCCGCTTGCGCTTCAATGTTGCAGGCAGCGTGGAATCGGAGCGCGCGAGCGTATGGGAGGAGAACGTGCGCAAATAAGATATTGGGGTTCCCAAATAACGGGAACAGGAAGGCAGACAGACCAAAACACGCAGGCGGATGGACGGAAATATAGGCAAGTGTTCTTAAAAACCAGCGACAAATCGAGCTCTTTTCCCCTGATGTTTTCGTGCTTTATTCATTTGTTTGCCTTATTTAGTCATGTATCGATTGATTGCGTTTTAATTACTGGCGTGTGACAAGGTGCGTGGGAGGAGGGGCGAATCCGGCGAGCACGTTGAGTTGCCTTATTTTTCTATAGATTTTTAATTTAAATGAGCAAAATAAGCAGACGATTTTAACAACGTTTACTACTTTGTGTAAATGAATGTGACCTGTAGCTGCTAGAACAAGGAAGAGAGCTATATAAGAGCTAGACCAAAAAATGCACCACATATCCAAGTAATAACAATATCCGCTGTCTTTTATACGTTATACAGTCAGGGTAAGAAATCTTTTTTTCCTCTATTATAATAAATGCAGAAAGGTCAGTTTATTTTACAAGCAAATAACCAAAGTTAAAGCGACTGCAACCAAGGGGGAAGCAGCAGGCCAGCTGAACAGTGTCAACCAGGACAGAAACACTACAGGAGAGAACGGGGGAATCGAGATATGCAGTTATACCTAAACGTTCGCAAACATAATTAGCCTTTGAGTGACAGATATAGAGCCTATGTTCGGCAAGCAAGTCGAACAGTATACCAAATACTGTAGCTTAATACCAAAACAAATAGACAAACGTGAAGTAATAGTGAAATAACCCACGTTTGTCTTGTTTCAATCCGTCTATCCGCCTGTGTGCGCGCGCTGGGAAAATACAATCGGGCTGCGCGCGCGTCTGCGTATCTATGCATGTAGATCAAAAGTAAACTACAAGCGAAAAGGGAAAGTAGAAACGCTAAAATATGAATACACAGTTTTATGTCAGAAACGCCTGGATCACAGACGGCACCCAATGATTTAAGTGAGACAAAAAAAGCCTATCTTGCCACAACTGCTAAAATAGCAAAGAAAACCCAACAGCAAAAAGAGCATCTAATAAGAACCAGACAAGAAGACGGATCATGTTTGTTCCTTTGCCGGTGCCGTTTGTCTTGCCGAGAACTGCCTCTGATCTCCACGCCTGGCGCCTGAAGTCCCCGCTGGCTCTCCGCTCTCACTCCGGTAAGGCTTTCTTCCTCAACAACCATCTTTTCTTCCCTCCCAATCCCGAATCCGGTGAAACCTCCCTAGTTCATCCCACTCAGTGGCATAATCCCCGTAATTCACCGTGCGAATGAAACATCCTTATGTGCCGTTTTCTGTTTGTGTCGCGCGCGCTTGCCGACCTTTCCAAAATTTCAGTTTAGTCCAAACGACGCGAGTCAAGTTTGTCTACAGCAAAACTAGCACTGCACTGTCGCGCTTCGAAATGCAGGGCAGGTCGGTTTTGTTTTGTGAAAGTGTTTCCTGAATGTATTCCTGTCTCTCGATGGGCTCCGCATCCGTCCGTCTCCTTCTCTCGCCTCTGCCTCTGCCTCCGTCTCCCCCGAACTAAACTCGCGGTGAGCTGGGAATATTCATGCCAACTTATCGATCTCCGCAGGATCGATTCCGGGGCCGGCGGATCGAGGGGAGAGAGGAGAGAATCAGAGCAGCTGCAGAGACCAGAGAAATGAGCATTTATGCTATTTAGACATCTTATGTTTGGCTCACAAATATTATTGTAGCCTATAGTATGAGGGGCATGTTTGGTGCACGTGTGATCGGCTATAGCCTAACCTTATTAAATGGATGATCACATACATCGTGTATAATGTGATTTGCAACTTGTTTTTTGCTCTTAGAGACGGGCGAAGTGCAAACGGACGACTTGCTACGTTAAGTTTTCTTTGCGGGAACTTTCCGGTTGTTCGGTGGCCACATAAAGATGAAAACAGAAAAGGAAGGAGGATGGAGAAGGAGGGGGTGGAGTAGGAGGATATGGGTGTTGTCTGAATTGAGAAGAGGCATAACTGCATAGCAAGCTGCTGTTTACTGGGCATGTGACAATCTGAGAATAGGCTACAATGGAAATGTTCTGTAAATGTATAAAGAAATTATTTTCTGGATAAATTGTTTTTTCATTATTTGGATTGTATATTGGTGTGAAATGTTGCTTCATCTAAGTCTGTTGTAAACAACATTTTGCTTTTGTATTATTCATGCAGTTCTAATGAGCTCATATTAATTGAGATATTGCATGGAATAGGCTATCTGCAATGATAATATTTGGCTACTTTAAAAAAAATAATCAGGCTACATATTTGGTTATTAAATGGTTACTAAAAATTAGAGGATGATACAAATTATTGTATACATTTATTAGAATTTCAATCAATTTGTCTGCCCATATGTGATCTTTCTCCTTATGATGAAAATCAAGTCTTCAGATGTCACTTTTGTCCATTTGTACAATGGAAAGTGCTGTGCCTTATTTTTGGTCAGACTTTTTTTTTTTTGCAAACCCATTTTACCTACAGTGGTTAGTGGGATTGCATTTTTTTTCTGTAATTTTACAGTTTTATCTTTTGCGTAACTTACAGATAGCCTTAGAGGTTTTCATAGGCTTTCTTTGGGACTGAATAATGATACAAGATGGTTAAGGGGAAGGATAATGAGCCTTTTCCCCTCAGAGATTAACAGGGCCAGGGAGAGGAGGAGTTTCATGCCCCTTTCGCTGAAAAATAGCGAGTGTCAAAAGAAGATAAAAAAAGAGGGTCGAAAAAGAAAAAGCTGTGGAGCACTAAAGGAAAGTAGGTGCAGATGACAGTGAAAAATGGGAACAAGTATGGAAAACCGAGTTTGAGAAGGAGAGGTGATCTTGAGCTCTAGACTCAGATTGTATGGATGCGGTTGCTCATCAGTTATGAATGATAAGCAAGGCTGTAAACGCTTGTTTCACATAGAAGTGGGTGATTGGCATGTGGAAAATATTTCATTAAAAATGTATAAATTCTGGTTTGTTTCAATATTTATACCTTCACAGTCAGCTAAACCTTTAAAAAAGCAGTCAGCTAACCCACTAAAATCTGAGCGCATCAGTCCTTATTTCTTCAATTCATGATGTCAAATACCATTACGGCCAGCTGAAATATCCATATCCCATCAAAGTCTCTTAATCACCATTAGAGAGAGCAGAACCTATTTAACTATTGTCCAGTTACTAATATATGCAGCTTTTGCATTAGAAAGCAGACATAGACATGAGACATAGACATGACAGAGGCAGAGAAAGAGATAATCTAGCCCAATTCTTGTAAGTGGTCTTGGGAATTATTGCCATTAACTGCTCCATTAAAGTTTTATGTGTGTTAACAGGCAGGTCCAAGAGGATGAGAAAATATTGTCAGTGAGAGAAAAAGAGTGAGCAAAAAAAAAAAAAGAAAAGAAAGTTTTTAATCTCATCAACTGAGAGACATAACTACTAGTCAAATTACTTAAAATTGGTGAAAGATGATTGTCTCATTGTCATAATCATTTGTTGAAAATACACTGTAAAGCAAGATTCAACTAATTTTTAAAGTCAGTTTAATGTCATTTAAGTTGAAATGACAAACATCCAAGTTCATTACCTAAAATTTTAAGGTGGTGTACATGTAAATTACAATGACAGGTGACAGCTATATTATTTATTATTTTTATGTATAGCTAAACGTTGTGTTTGTGTGAGCGCATGTGAAGAAAGTGTGTTTATAGATTAGGGCGAGTCCTGGTGTTAAAATGATTCCCAATGACAAAATGTCAGCTTGGGTTTGTTTGTAACATAATGGGGAATCAATATTATATAAAGAAGATGTCAATACAGAATGTTCTACTGCATTTCACTCCCTCCCTCTCTCTCTCTCTCTTCTCACACACACCCTTCCACCTCTTGCTCTGATTGATATTCCATGTCGTCACGATGTTCATTTAGTGACAGTACTCCCGCAGGTCTTTTAGTGACTGTTAGTTTTGGCAGAGGAGAAATGTGTTTGCATCTGTGTGGGTTGACCTTCCTTAGTGTATTAACACTGACGGCACCCTTTCCCTCATTAGCACTGCTGCTTTTCACTCTGTAAAAAAGTCCCCAGAGTTCTTTCCTCCCAGTGACCATTACAAGCACACACACATTTGTGCTATTGTTTCTTCATACTATAGACACTTACCTAAATGATTATTATTAACACCTGTTCAATTTCTCATTAATGCAATTATCTAATCAACCAATCACATAGCAGTTGCTTCAAAGCATTTAGGGGTGTGGTCCTGGTCAAGACAATCTCCTGAACTCTAAACTGAATGTTAGAATAGGAAAGAAAGGTGATTTAAGCAATTTTGAGCGTGGCATGGTTGTTGGTGTCAGACGGGCTGGTCTTGAGTATTTCACAATCTGCTCAGTTACTGGGATTTTCACGCACAACCATTTCTAGGGTTTACAAGGAATGGTGTGAAAAGGGAAAAACCTCCAGTATGTGGCAGTCCTGTGGGCGAAAATGCCTTGTTGATGCTAGAGGTCAGAGGAGAATGGACCGACTGATTCAAGCTGATAGAAGAGCAACATTGACTGAAATAACCACTCGTTACAACCGAGGTATGCAGCAAAGCATTTGTGAAGCCACAACACGCACAACTTTCTAATACATAGGTATGCACACTTTGGCTACGAATATGTCCCTTTGAGGTACTAATATGCAGCCTTTAGAGCTAAATAAAAGTTACAAGGAAGTATATTTTAAAAGGTTACCACCCCAGTGACAGCTTTTGTACCTTTTTTTTTTCTGAGAGCGTATATATGAACTTTAATTAAGGTTGAATTTACATGCACAGTCTTATCGATTGTACTTAATAAGCAGTGATGGGTAATGCGTTGTATTTAATTACTGTAATTGTATTACTTTTCCCTTTAAAATTTAAGTAAGGGATTACTTAGGCTACTTTTGATGTAATTACAGTACATGCTGTATTAACTACTAGAGCAATTAAAATGTAATGTCTAACAATAAAACATATGTTTTTAATGTAAACTTCTCGTTTAAACACTTTGGGCAGATTAAGAATAATTTATGCAATTTTATATTTATTTGAAAGAATTTAAAGAGCAGTTTCATGTCTGTTCTTCACTGGTTGAAGTTGATATGGGATTTCGTAGTGATTAGAAATGCAATAATTTTTTAAAACATTATTATTAATATCTCTTTCTGGCTCCTCCTCTCTCTTTCTCGTACAAAACATTCTCTGGAGGTGTTGGTGGCTACATGATGGCTGCAAAAGTAGGAGAATTGTTCAGACAGGCCCTTAATCAACACATCTGTGAGAGACAGCACCTGGTCAATACACCCCCTACCAGTACAGCAGCACTCACACAGATTCTCCACTGCTGTGTTAATTTAGTGTGATTATCTGGCTGCACATGTGTATTTGTGTGTGTATGTGTTGGAGAGGGAGAGAGAGACATTGTTATATTCGCCTCAGACACAGAAATGGTGTGTGTGTAGATGGATGGATGGATCAAGGCTGAAAGATGAGCATAAATAGACATGAAAGAATGTATTGATATTTTGACATGGCAGGTACATAGTGGCTTAACTGACAAACTGATGTACTGAGAGATATTTAAGATTACTGTGTGGGATAATTAGACAGATGGATTGACACAGCAATACACTACTTTTAAAAACGGACTCCCCCCTTTGATGCTGTTAGGTGAAAAAATTGGCTTAAACCAGTGTAATTTGTCCTTTCAGCAGCTGCTGTGTGTGTGTGCGCGCGCGTGTGCACATTTTGAAAATAGAGAGTGTGTAATAAAAGCTTGCTCTTTGATTATGTCCTTCACTCCTCATGAACAAGCTCAAGACCTAAATCTGTTCTCTTCCTCCATTTCATTTAAGATTTATAGCGATCAAGGTCTCCTGTTCACATGTAGGGCTTTGTGAATTTATTTCAGGGCTTTTTTCTTTTCTTTTTTTATCCTTTTAATGGTCGTAAGGTTGTCTGGTGTCATGTTTTGATTATTAAAAATGCCAGTTATTAGTATTATTAATCAGCTAAAATTCAAACAGAATTGTTATCTAAATTATATGAATCTAATAGAGACAGTTTGATTTAGATTACATTAGTGGCCAATTGTTACATATTTCTTCCTGGATCCTTTTGAGGAAATACCA